TCGCTGGCTGGGGAATTCTGGGAGTTGAAGTCCGGACATCTTCAAGTTGCTAAGGTTGAGAAACACTGGTATAAAGAGTCCTGCCGTGAGCATAGGATTCGACTAGAATTTCTCCAAAGTTCCTTCCAGCCTTATAATTCTATGTTCTGATTCTGTAGTACAACTTGTCAATGCAACAAGACCCCATTCTCAACATTTTTTTAAAAAAGTCCCCATCCCCATTTTTTTTTTTAAAGGCCCCGGGAAAAAAAGAAAGATTCCTCAATTTCAAGGTTAGAGATTATTTTAAACCACAGAGGAAAATGAAGCAATTTAGTGGCTGCTGGCCTAACGCAGGAAAGGTTAGAAGATTAAAAGACCAACTGCTGTTTGGGTAAGTGGCTGATAATTGCACACCCTAGCAATTACTGGGCTGGGTCTCCTGTCTGTCTTACCTTTTTTTTCCCTCGTGAGCCATCAGGGTTGAGTCGAAATGTCCCCGAATTTACAGTCCTTCTTGGTCCAATTTTCTTGATCTCATACTCCAGCTCATCAGCAAGAGCCTTACACGCTGTAGAGTGCAAAGGAAAAGAAGTACGGAGATACATCCTCATTCCAAAAAATTCCCAATAGAAAATATGACAGAGAGAGAGAGGAGGAGGGCAGGGGTGAAATCAACTTCCCTTTGCTACTGGTTTGCAAATGTGAGAGTGAACGCACCGTCGCAACACTCACATGCATCACCTTTGCGCATACGCAGGACCTTCCACGCATGCGCAGAGCATCAAAATGCTCTGTGATGACGTCTAGGCGAGTGGGCGGAGCCTGCTACTGAGTGTGCCTGCAAAGGTAAGTAGCGAGGGGGGGGGAAATCCGCTGTGCCACGCGATTTACATTAGCTGGAAAGCAGGAAATCCTACGACTCTAGCTAATATAAATTGTGCGTCACAGCTGATTGTCGGAAATAGTTTGTCCGAACTGGTAACATTTTTTTACTACTGGTTCGGGCAAACCAGTCCGAACCGGTAGCATTTCACCCCTGCAGGGAGGGAAATAGGTACGAATACTGAGAAAGCTGTTTGCCGCCAAAGTGCATTCCAAAACATGTGCTTACATAGCCATTCAAACATGTTGTCACCATGAAATATTAATACATAGCTGGGCCAGAACCACACTGTAGTTTTCTTCTTCTGAGGATAATTCTTGGAAAGAAGATTTGGACACCAGAGTGTCATGTGTAATGTTGATGGCACAGATGACAACAGCTATTTTGTTCAAGGGATAATTCTTGTACATTGATAGAAGCCACATTTTTAAGATTGGTTGTGCCTGAGATATGCGGCTGCAGCCAAACGTTATCCCCTTATGATTTATTCCCTCGCAAACAAAACAAAAATGTGTCCCAAAGAAATAACATAATTTGCTAAATTCTGAAATGTCTGAGGCAAACCAGATTAGAGATTCAAAAAGGCAACGTAGAGAAGGGAAAGGGGAAATTATGGTGTTTTTTTATTTTAAAGAAAGGGAAGCAGTGCCAGAGCTGACAGGTCTTAAAAAGTTTGCAAGTGATGGTATTGGCAGTGTTTTATTTCAGTGTTTCCCAAACTGGCTACTTTGAGATGTGTGAACTTCAGCTCCCAGGGTCATTATAAATGCCCGTGATGGTTATGCAATGCTGGGATTTGAAGTCCAAATATCTCAAAGCTGCCCTGGTTTATTTGCAAGTAATCCTTGTTTGTTCGGTGATTGTTCAAAATGACAAATGAAGAGAGTTATAACCCCTTCCCACGGTCAGGTGAAACAAAATCTAGGCAATTGATAATTCACATCAGAAGTGTTATTCAGCCGGTTTGGACTGGTTCACCTGAACCAGTAATGAAAACAGTAGTTGAAATCATGAGTGGGTCTGCCCCCTGGCACTCCTCACCCCACCCCCCGCCCCAGCAATATGCCATCCTATTGAGGCACATTTTCAAGCGGAAGAACATAACCCATGTTTACTGTCAAAAACAAAATGTACTTGGCAATTATGGTGGCAAGGTTAGATAAAATATGTGTGCATCAGTGGTGGGTTCTGGATCCCGTTGCAACCAGTATGGTGCAACAGGGCTGGGCGTCCACCATGTGCACGCATGCAGCACGCGCATGCGTACTTACCGTCTGCGATGCTCCAGCCACTGGGCGGAGCATTGTGCAGGCGCCGTATGCTCCGTACTTGTGTGCAAATGTCCCGATTGGTTCAAATAGCGGTAAGGAGAGCAGGTGGGTGGGCAGGCTTCCAGAGCACCATACCGGAACAGTACCTGGTGCTTCCAGCAGGTACCGGTATCCCACCACTGGTGTGCATCTGTGTGTGTGTATACACACGGATATGTTCATTCTAGAAGCTGGCAAAGCATAGGAAGGACTACAGGGCTGGCCATCAAACAAACACTTCTTTTTTCTTTTTAACTCAAAACTCATTTACAGGTAGCCCTTGGCCTACAACAATTCATTTAGTGACCATTCAACGTTACGACGGCACTGAAAGAAGAGACATGGCCATTTTTCACCCTTATGACCATTGCAGCATCTTCATGATCATGTGATCAAAATTCAGGTGCTTGGCAACTGACTCACATTTATGACGGTTGCAGAGTCCCAGGGTCCAGTGTTTTGCAACCTTCTCACCAAGCAAAGTCAATGGGGAAACAGATTCACTCAGCAACCATGTTACCAGGTTAACAATTGCAGGGATTCATTTAATAACCATAGCAAGAAAAGTCATTAAATGGGGAGGGAGGGAGGGGGGAGATCACTTAACAAGTGTTTCACTTTGCAACAGAAATTTTGGGCTCAATTGTGGTTGTAAGTCAAGGACTACCTGTATCCCCTTGGTCGCTTCATTTACTGTTTGGGTTTTATGTTTGCTCAACTTCCGAAGACCTCAGCAATTGGCATTCTTAGCCAAATGGGACTGGTTGAGACAGTTTGAAAATACTTTCAATCTGGTTTGTTGGAGAATTAAACTGAGCTATTTTTTAAAGCTGCTCTGATGTTTTGGAAGTAGAGTTTCCATTGAAAAGCTGTAGTTTTGCAGAATACATTGATGGTCTATTTTTCACTGGGTGAAACTCACACCCCATGTCTGCCATCCTTCAAGCGTTGGCTGTAACCTACAAATGCCTACATGGCATAAGGCCTGGTTACTTGAGGGACTGCCTGTCTCTCGTAACATCTGTCCAGCAGATGTTTGATCCTGCACAGCTGGTACACTCTGGGTTCCTTTGATTAACAATCCTATCTATTGGGACCCTAGAAGCACGCCTCCTTTGAAGCAGCACCTGCCCTCTGGAATGAGGGCCCTCTGAGACTGAAAGGTCTCTGAAGACTTCCAAGGCCTTTGGTAAGGAAGAAGATCCTTCCCTTCTTTGCTCTTGTTTGTTTGTTTGTTTGTTTGTTTGTTTATTGGATTTCTATGCCTCCCTTCTCCCAAAGGACTCAGGGCGGAGTACAACATTAAAAAAAACACATATTACAAAAGTTAAAAAGGAAATTAAATAAAGTATCCCAAAACAAACCCAATTAATATTAACAATAAAAAACTAAAAATGAGATTAAAATTAACAATTAAAATTAATAATTTATTTTCTTCTGTTCAGGCCAGGCCAGCTTGCTGGAAAAGCCAACTTTTTAGGGTGCGTCGGAAAGACTGGAGGTCAGGGATTATGTGAAGCTCCGGGGGCAGCTCATTCTAGAGGGAAGGCGCTCC